TAATAATGGTGTTGTTATTAGAATCAGGAAGTTTGCGTTCTATCATTGATTTTATGCTGAGCTGCGATGTATTAAGAAAGAAATGACTGGTAACGTTAAATTAACATAATTGCACAGGTATGTGATAGGAAATAATTAAATTTTTAGTTAGTTTTTTTGACTATTAAAGATTAAAAAATTTGATAGAATCTGGTAACTCTGTGTGATGCAACAAGGATTTTTTGATGTAACAAAGGAGAATAGCAAAATGTGAAGCATAAGTGACGGGGAAAAAATTCATGACTTCCGTTTTTAGGAGAAAAGAGGACAAAATTTTTTATGTAATGACAGATGCTAAAAATGATATGACTAGAAGTTATTTTTAAGTAAGATTGACGGTTTAACTAAATTGTATAATTATGTTGCGTATGATAGGTTCATGTCTAATTAATTTATAATAGTACTGATAATACTGAAGATGGTTCGATTGGGACCGAAACGTTTATATTTTATTCCATGTATTTAATAAAAGATTTGAAATAATCGCCACTGTTATCTGGTGTTCGTGGTATATGCCTTTCAGACAAAGAATACAAAGTAAGTTCATTCAAAGTATGCTCCATCAGAAGCGACAACTTTCCCTCACCTTTCAGGTAATAAACAGATTCCTCGAAGGAAGAAATCTGGTTCTTTTGAAGCGATCCATTTATCAAGCCATTTTTTGATATCTTCATAAGAATTGAATCGCTCTCCAGAAAGGGCCGACAGCATGGACCGGAACAAATAGAAATCTGAAGGAGCAATGTCCGGTGAATACGGCGGGTGGGGCAGAATTCCCACTTCACCCCTTCCAAGTATTTCTTGACCGGTTTTGCAACGTGTGACATAGCGTTGTCACGTAGCAGAATCAGCTTATCTTGTCCATTGTCCCATTTCTATTGTTTTTGTTTCAAAGCTTAGTTCAAACAAATCGCTTCAAACGAATATCAACTACTGGGCTCAAAAGCTTGAACACACACCTTTCAAATACATGTATTGCCGTTTTATCAAACACACAAGCAGTGCTACTAACGACATCTCTCTAATGGGCGGAAACTTATTCCCATACCTAATATATATATAAATTGATCAAAAATTAACATTTGTTATATCTGATTTTTTAAAATGTTGTTTGCACGCACAAAATAAGGTATAGCCTGTTGAATTTTTGTCTACATTACTCATTTTTCATTTAGTTCATATTTTTGTCATTAAATGTTGTTTATATTACGTAATAATATGAAATATCGACGAGGTACGATTTAGGTGACTAGTACGCATTCAGCAACTTTCCCCTACACATACACATATATATGAAATGCAAAAATTTTCAAGAAAATTAAATATAATTTTTTATGATTCTTAGCAACCTTATCATATATAGGTAAAAAGAATTAAAAGAGAGTCTCTGAGATTATAAATAAAGATTAAAAATTTCAATAAATTCAGCATGTTTTGTCTTATTAGAATGTTTTGTAAACCAACCTTGCACGCTGGCCACCGGAAAGACTGACACCCCTCTCTCCTACAATCGTCTTATCACCGTAAAGTAGCAGACTGAAATCTCTCTTTAACTGACACACTTTAGTCACGCGATCGTATCGAATCTGATCCATTGTTCTTCCGAATAGAATATTTTGTCTCACCGAATCAGCGAAAAGCCACGGTTCTTGACTGGCATAGGCAATCCTGCCGTTAATCTATGAAAAAATATTTAAAAGTACAATAGTATATATTAATTAGCTATGTAAATTAATTATGTAAATTAATTATACATATTAATTTATAAATATTTGAATTAATTAGAAATACATGTATATTTATAAAAATAAGTTGATTAAATAATTTATTTTTATGAACAAAATAGTTTATTTGATATTTATATATTAAAAATTTTTTAATGTTTGTCATTAACTAAAGAGGAATCGTCAACATACTTGAATGGAGCCTTCTTGCAAACGCAATTCTTTCAGGATGACGTTCAATAGACTGCTCTTTCCCGCGCCGACCTGGCCGACAACAGCGATCAGTTCACCGGAACGTACCTTCATGTTGATGTTCAGTAAGGTGTCTTCTTGTTCATAATCCAACCACTTAGCATTTCCATTCTTGATGGACACGCTATACTCGACATTGTTCAGTTGGTTTACGATTGCGCTATCGTTCTTCTTCTGCTCGATTAAATTTTTCTTCGAATTTTTTTTATTATTCCCCTTCATATCCTGTTGGTTATTCTCCTTCCCATTCTTATTATTCTCTTTTGTGTCCTTATTGTTCTCTTTATTGTACTTCTTTGCTTCAATCTCGGAAAGAGTCAGTTCTTCATACATGAGGAATTTTTGCAGCCGTTTTATGGACACAATCGTTTCCGCTACTTGTGTTATTCCTGGGTTATCATAAAAACAAAAAACAAATAAAAAAAATAAAATGTAGAATAGAATAATTTACTTTATATTTAACGTTAGATGTGATTCTTAAACGGAACTTTAATTTATTATGATATTAAGATAATAAAGTATAAAATATAATAATTGAAAAGAAGTAAGGTAACTAGCCTTTATACAGTGTACGACCTACTTGTTTATGAGAAATTATATGTGAATTCAATGGATAGCACTAATAAATCGTGCAAGCAGTCCGTCTGATTTGATTACATCAGTTTGTCTATTCTGTTATAGTTAGTAAATCAAAATACATCAGAGCGTCATAGTCGTGATGTACTTAACATTTCGTAGATAAGTAAGTAATTATCTTCTATAACTACCAATAGATGATTTAATTTCCATAGTTTCGAGTAACCGACTAATTATGTATAATAATTTGCCAATTGTAACCATTATGGCTTCAATCAGCAATTAATTATCGCATGCAAATGCTCGTGAACACATTACGTCGACTCTGCAAATGTAGCGAGGAATTCATCATTCAGTGTTGAACAGTGAGGAAGGAAAGACAGGTAAAAAAGAAAAGTAAAAACTTGAAAAAGTAAAAACAAAGAAATAAAAAGGAGCATTGCAAGCGTCAATATTGATCAATGTCATTCACATATGTAATTATATACATTGCTACACTAATTATCGCATACCTTGCGGAAAGTAGGCAGTCATGATTAAGCTTAAACTGTTATAATAGGCAGTTATCACGTACACCTTCTCGGCCGTTATCTTGTAGCCAAACAGAATATAAGACAGTATCGTAATGAACAACGATATTCTTGTCGTAAAGACGATGAAAGACTTGACGATACCTCTGACACATGACGCCCATTGAATGATATTAACTTCTTTCCTAAAATTGAATTTTGTAGCGTTTATATATAGTGTACAATATATATATGTTTTCTTTTTCATTTCAAATAAAAAATATCGTACAATGTTAATCGTCCCAAGATATGACTATTTCTAATATTGGAATTTTATTTCTAATACTGGAATTTTTGTCAATACAAACATGAAGAAATAGAAATATTCTCTGCTTCTTTTTTGGGCTACGAAGGCGTTATCACAAACAGGTTTTGCAAGAATCATCTTTCTTGTTGCAATGTATTGTACAATCGATACAGATATTTTTTACGTAATTAGTTTATGCGGTAGTACTTACTTTCTTGCTTTTTCTATGAGTGAGGTGAAAAAATTCTCCCAGGTATACATCTTGATGGCTTGGATTCCACTAATAATCTCGTTCATTAATCGTACCCTCTCATCTGTCCTGATAGCAGTTCTTAATCTCAGCTCTGACGACTTCTTGCCTAGCCACACTAAGGAATTTTAGAAATATTATACGATTAGAAGCAACTCTTATAACTTGTTAGTGATTTACCAAACGATATTTATTAATTGAGCAGAAAAAAGGCTCAATAATTAGGGAAACTTAGCAAGAAACTCATCAATTTGGAGACATAGCAATGAAAATGTAAAATTTGGAAACAGAATTTTTTTTCGTATTTAAAAAAATTTAAAAGGCATAGTTGAAAAGCAACAATTTACAATGTAAATATTTCAGATTAAAGTTAATTTAAATTAATTATCATTTATTAAAAATCTATTATTTGTTATTTATTATTTATCAAAACTAATCGTAAGTCAAGATTCTACCAGTAATTCTACAGTTTAATTGAAGCAAAAAGACGATTTTCATTAGCTAAGTTACTTATAATTTAAATATTTCTTAACTTTGCAAAAGGCACATATCAAGTTACTTTCAATTTAATCAGCCGATTAAATTGAAATTGATTTGAAATACATGTGTGCGTGCGCCTTTTATAAAGTTTAGAAATGTTTACTAGAAACTATCAGAGCATTGACTGCCTCACCTTGAAAAGGGATGAACATCAGAAGAAATGCGATACCGAAAATAGATGATATTCCGATGTCGATCAAATGGAATGTAATGTATGTGATGATGAT